TTGTAACATTCTAAATGAATGTTTTAATTTGAATCTTATTCAGTTTGAACTGCATTTGCCTTGTGTTGATATAAGCATTTTTTCCAAACTACCTAAAATTCAGTGATATGAATGTAGCAGTTTCAGAGATAGTAAGCCTGCAATAAAGGTGTACAGAGAAGGCCTTGGCAAAATGGATCCACTGTAGTGTGCTGAACAGCAGATGGCTGGCTGCAGAAAAAGCACACACTGGATTTCACACTCACATGCACAGCAACCCTATGTAAACCAGCACCAAGGAATGAGATATCCTTATGGCGGTTTACAGAGAGGCAATTCAGAAAAAGGGAGTTATGTAGTAGAGAAAAAATATCTATTCTGAGAGCCGTGTTTATCATCTTCTTTCTCCTATTTTCAGCCCCTCTCTATGTGCTTTTCATTCCATCTACTTTAATATTTTCCCTCTCTTCCAGTTTTCATGACCACTTCCTACTGAAGTGCAAATATTGTGTATTTGCAGGATGACCCCCTAACGTTGTTGTGCATTCAAAACAAATCAAAACCGAGTTTACCCTCTGATTTTTTCACTAAAACAAGTGGCTAAAGAAAATTATAAGGACATGATATGCTTATACTTTTCAACATTTCCTTTCTTCAGCTTACTTTCAGCTTGTGTTTTAAAGAAACTAAGGATCTACCATAATTTTTGTATCTGCACAAAACAAACAAATACCTGGATGCACACGGCAGCATGTCCTTGAAGTGAAGGGATTCCTTGGTCCTTGGCTGTGACCACCATTCTGTAATTTGATCTCTCAGCATATGACAGGGATTGAGTTGTTCTTAGCTCTCCGCTGATTATGTCAATCTCGAAGTACCCTGTACCCTCTTCTATGGGAAAAAATGGGTATCAGTTATTAGAGATGCCAAATGCATCTCAAGCTTGCCTAATGCCTCCACAGTATGGAGGCATTATTGTTATTAATGAGCAAAAAAGAGCAGGACCAGTAGGAAAAGAAACCGACTCATTTGGCTCTCAGGTTCATCTGGATCCCTTGTTCTCCCTTCATCAGTGCCTAATAATTATGACCTGCTTAGTGTAGAATTAAAAAGCTATAGAGGAAAAATCTATAGAGCACCAAGGCAGCTGCTTGCTTTGGTACCAAGTTATTCACATCGGTGGTCTGTGCATAAGGCGGGGAAGAAGACACTGCAGGACTCCTACCTCTATCTCCAACACGAGTTGACAGGAAGGGCCGGAGAGAGAATTAAGGCTTAATGTTTAAACTGGTATGAAAAGACAAGTAATTTATTCTAGAGACAAGCCTGGCTCAGTACCCTTCCAGACTAGGACACAGCAACAAAACTGATCTACTCTTAACACAGTGTAATTGCAGTGACGGAGCCCTGCACTTGTTCTGCACAGGAAATTAACTGGAGGAAGGGTTAAAGCTTGTGATGATGTGAATGTGTGAATATTAGAAATTAAGCTTTCCTCTTGTGCTAAGGATTGATCACACTGTTAATAAAACTAAAATTACTACTCACTAAAATTACAACTAGCAGGCATATCATATCACATTTATTCCAGAGCCACAGAGAAAAAATACACTACAGAACAGTAAGTGTTATTTGTGACTTCCCAATTTTCAGTAAAATGGGCAAAAATCTGTTACCGAATATACACCATTAGAAACTGAAAAAATAAAAATTGTCACAACTACTCCTCTCTTAAAATACTATGCAAAGAAATTTTTGCCACATGAATTTTTAATAAGGTGTGCTAGTGGGTCAAATAAAGTCATGTAGCATAACAGCTGCTATTCCAATAAACCACTGTGGTAAAAATAAATTCAACACATATGTAGTACACAAAACATCCATAAAGAACTGTATTTCCATAGGCACCTAAGTGAGCATGACACTGTTTATGTTCTCCAAATCTGCACATGCAAATTAGTTAGCTGCACATATAAGTGTTCATTTGTATAACCAATTACTTTAATTGTTTCAGTAAAATATCTGCACCTGAAAAAGTTATCCAAAATTGAGAAGGCTAGCTAGAAAACAGGGTTTTCACCATCAGCATATAGGAGTTTTATCCAATATAGTTTCTGATTATTTTTGAGTGACTATAGATTTTTCGTATGCCTTAAGTCCGTTCTGGATTGACTCTTGAAATCTGGATTATAACAAGGAAATTGCCAACAATTAAAAACAAAATATAGAGACAAAAGTATTGAATATTACAGTCCCTTATTCTGCATTTTCTCATGAATGCATAAAAATATTAATGTTGCTTTATTAATGTTTTTATAAATAGCTTTTGGTTACTTTTCTGTTTTAGGTCTCAACAGCAGCCACAGATATTTTGTTCTGCATTTTGTTCTGCTTCTATCCTCAGCTCAACAAAACATCAAAGGAGACATGAACACACAATATGAATTATATGAATGTATTTTTAACATTCTACTAAAACGAACATTTAAAATAAGAAATACTGAGAACTAGCAAGAAAAAAATAAACTGGAGTGCATAGATTGCATGAAAAGCATTTCCTTTATTTTTCTACTAAAATGCAGTTGCAGTTACCAAACTGAACCATAAAATAGAAAGCAAAAACGCTGCCAGTATATAACCGCAATCTGAGACACAGGTTGTAAAGATTCACCCTTGCCTCAGTAGTACTGAGGACAGGTAGCAGGTCTTAGCATAAAGACTCAAAACACAACGACATAAACTGTAATTTCAGATGAAAAGATGGCCTAAGAAACACCACACATTGTGGTCATAAAACTCAGCAGAACCATTCAAGTCTTCCAGAGATCCATAATCCAGGCTGGCTATCTTAGAAACCTAGACACCTAGACACAAATGAACACTAGATTTTTCCCAAACACCAGTGGCCTCAGATATTTTTAGTTAACTATTTTTAACTAATTTTCTGAAGGACTATATCTTATCTATATTTCAAGATACTTAAGAGTCTTAGTCATTGTGTTCTCCTTTCAGGTTAAATATAATTGATGATGCTGAGGAGCAAAAAAAAAAAAAAAAAAAAAATATGTTTTTTTTAATTAAAAAGAGGAAGACAGTTCCATGGTTCTCAAAGTGTTTGAATATCACAGGACTGCTGTAGAAATACAGCCCTCTTCATATCTAGTAATCTTCCTTAATTTATACTTGTAGATCACTCTAGAGAACAAAAACTGGCTTTTTACTTGTCCACCCACAAGCACACAACCCTGGCCAATTTCTGTGTCTCAGCAGTGCAAACTATTCTCCTCGTGCCATGGTGGCTTTCAAGTTCTAATGCATCCACAGGACCATTTCAAACATAACTATAAAAGTCTGTACTTTGTCAGTGCTAACCTTAACATACGAAGCAATAGTTTATGATGCACTATGAATACAGATTCAATTTTGCTATAAATGTTGCAGTAACCTACTGACAATTGTAAAGAAGGCCAAGTAAATCACCAGCATTATTAAGAGATAATACATACGGGGAGGGATTCACTACCTCCTGATTCCAGTTATTCTTCAGCAATGATAATAAAGCAGAGGTATGACCATGTGATCAAGAATCTTCATGCACAAGAATGTTAAAAGGATGACTTGCTTTGATTTTCTTGGGACCGGGAGGAGGATTTAGAAGAAAACACTTCTACTTTGAAGGATAAAATGTATCTTTTTTGTAAATCTCAGGGTTCTTTCCCAGATGTTTCCTTTACATAATTTGGGGGCAATAATCATTAGGCCTCCTAAATAATAGCCTAATATTTTAATCTGGGAGTCTCATTAAGGTCTCGAGAACACTAAAAATTACCCAGTGACTGAGGTCCCTGTGGCGTTTACAAGCTGAACAGCTGACACTGATACTCTTCGCTCTTGATCTTGCAGCAGTCCCTGAATCGTTGAAAAGGGCACTGGTCTGCATATACCCCTCCAATTAACCTGATGTCTGTGTTTAACAAATATGACTGTAAATCAGATCATATTTCTTCTTTAAGTTTTAGTACTGAACAACATCCCAAGACTGGAAAATATTATTTAAATATAAACCAGGCAAGAACTTCACCATGAAACAGAAGACCAGATGTTCAAGGCTGTGAGCCAACTAACAACAACAACAACAATCAGTGTCAGAGAAGCTGAGCTGTTTCTGGATTTGTTTATCAGGAAAATATCTAATTCAGAGTTTGGGAACATTCTTTTAGAGCTTTCGCTGCTGTTTTTGCTTTTATCCTTTTGTCCTTTCTAGAGACACCACTTAAAACATCAGTCATGTTTTGAGTAGCTACTCATTTAATAATTTGAACTCTTACTTACGCCCCTCTGAGGCCCTACAGTGAAGCCACTAAGAAAATCCACTTGCTCTTTGAAGGAATATGTTTAGATATCCAGACAGAAATAAGAAAAACAAAACAAAACAAAACAACAAACACGAAGAGCCTTTCTAATATTGGTTGGTCAACACCCTTTAAGCAAAGGTTTGGGTACTACCTGTTCCATAGTTCTCTTTTTCTTAGGGTGTTATTTTCTTGCAAAATTTATTGTTCGCACTGCAGGAGTCTACAGTTCTCTCCAAATCCCTCTGAGAGAGGTAGTCACTTGCCAAATTAAGGCAATAAAGGTGTGGCAATAAAACAACCCTACCCACTTTTATTATCTGCATCCTTTAAAACTGCAAAATTTTTGATGCCTTAATTGTTTAAGGATCTCCTGCTGGAAGAGAAGAGAACCAGTTCTTTGGCCCTCTGAATTAGAATCTTAAAATCCTCTCATTACCCCACAGAAGTCAAAAGGATACATACAGTATAACATTATCTACATAAATCTTCCAGTAATTTCAGCCTTGCAAAGGAAAGATTACAGCTTTATTGCCTCCTTAGAATGAAGGATAATGTTATAAAAGTAGCTTTATGGTATTTAGTTTTGTTCTTTACTCTGAAGAGACAATCATGAACCAAATTAGCAGACCGAACTAGCAGACATTTGAGCTTTACCTACACAGAAAAGAACATCTGAAAAAAATGTAATAAGCAGATGGGAATAACTTAAATATGGTTCTGCTCTGTATGATTTCAGTGAAACAGCATGTTTGATGTGCAAAGTGCCACATATTAAAATATCAGTCTTAAAAAATATTGATTACATAAATCCTGTATTATGGAAAAAGTATAAAAATTGCATGGCACCCCCATGTAAACAACTTGCTGACAGATTTTTAGAACCATTTTTGTTCTTGATGTTGATTTTTGTTCTTGATGAGGGAAAGAAGTGTTTTTAAGCTGCTGCACCATGTCAAGCTAACACAATGCTAAGCAAAGGCTGAAACATGGCCTAACCCCCAGATCTCATTGTCTGCCCAGATTATCTGTTGATCCTTCTGATCCCTGTCTCAGACTGCCGTGAACTATTCTTTTAGCAGGAAAATTTTCAATTGGTCATGGGAACTGCAAGATCATCTTTCATTTAAGATGTTAAAGAACTGACTGAAATACTAAACTGTACTGTACAGGATCATGGTCCTAATCTTGCGTGAGTGCTGTTGGGACATTCTCTGGCTGACCCTACAAGCAGCTGAGTCCTTGGGATGATGGGGCAGAGGGTGAAACAAGATAGCTCCTCATGTCTCCTCAAACTTTCAGTAAGACACTTGTTAGTATCGATTCCTCCTTACACTGGCACCTTTATTTTAACTGACATTAAATAGAAATAAAATCCTATATGTCTCTGAAACTAATTATTTCCATATGCTTTATTTATGAATAACATTTAGAATTCTTACCTGATTCTATTGAGTATAATACTTCAGCATTGCTCCCAGCATCAAAGTCTTTTGCAAAGATATTGGTGATGAGTGTCCCCGATGGCTGCCCTTCCAAAACCTGCCATCAAGCAGCTTATATATAATTTACAAATATAAAAGAATATCAGTGAGCTTTAAAACGATTCACTTCCCCTAAAGCAATACTTTAGTAGTAGCTATGTTTTCCATTTCAGTAATGCTCACAGTAAGTATAAACAAAGTATTTCAGAAAGTGTTCAAACTAATACATTTCTAGCAATATCCCATTACGGTCTGCAGATATTGCTAATTCAAAACCATTAATACAGCACATTTGGAAATCAAAAATTAAAAGTTTACTATACACATATAATTTTATGTATATCTTTTAAAACTAATAGTCAATGAAAAGTTTAATACTTTTACATATTTTAAAAGTATCAAATATACCTGAAAATAAACTTTAAAAGCCCTACCGCTATTTTTGTGTAATATGTTACTGTTTTATTATTTCATCAGTTCTACAGTAAAAGAGCAATTTAAATCCTTTAGAAGTAATATTTCTTAATAAATAATTTCACATCAGTCAAAAAACTTTGGGCTCATAACTGAATATTATTAAAATTCAGTTCAGTTAAGTTGCACATTCTCATCAACGTGTTGGTCACATGGACCAGAGGGTGTTTCCTATTGCTATCGTATGTTAATACCATTTAAGTGACAGCCAGATTACATGCAGTCCACTAAACACAATGGTGGTTACGTAGACAGAAATCCCATTTACAATTTGAGCTTTGGCCACAAGATGGTGCTCAGAACAAGTCTTGAAAGAGCATAGCCAGACCAAACCAGAAGGTTACTGAAACAGCCAGAACAAACCTTGACAGTTAGTTCTTTTCCAGATGTAATCTGCGGGAAGACAGGCTTGTTGTCATTGATGTCAGTGACTGAGATATAGACAGTTGTTGTGGCATTAAGTCGTGGTGAGCCATGATCGGTCACCAGGATAGTCAACTGGTGGTGAGATTGCTTTTCATGGTCTAATGCAACCCAGTTTATAATTTCACCTGATGGACAAAGAAAAAGGAAAAATGTGAGATATCGCTGTACGCTGGTATTAATCTTACTGTATGCAATTATACATTTGCTTTAATGTGAACAAATACTATATGTATTTTGATATATCCTGATTCTTACACTAAAATCCTAGCTTACGGAAATCCATTGCACAGAAATGCTTTGTGAATAGAAAGCTTGTATTTGTACATTATCATTATATTACATTCTTTACTGTACTCCAGATACCCCAGAGCAAAGGTATAAAAGAGTGTAGGCTTAACATGCTGACCTTCTGAAGAAATCCATCTGGCCTTTTCTTCACCATATTTCAGGATAGATAATATATGAGCACAGCCTTTCAATTGCTTGCACATGGCTTTTATTATGCCCTTGGGTTAGGAGATTCTCAACACAATGTCTCTATGATAATCAGGAAGCCTTAGGTCTTCTACACATGTTGGTAAACCCAATGAATAAATCTGACCAAATCTTCTCCCCATCTGCTCAACTGTACTCAGTACACCTGAAGATCTGCAATTGACCAATACTTCACACGGATGACCTAGTACTTTTAAAATCTTCTGGGTTAATTCCTTATGTTCTGTTTGCCTTTAAACCTTTATAAAAAGGTACTCAACAAGAAATTGCTTTGAAACAACATTTTTATTTTGAGATTCATAGATAAATTCAAGATCCTCTTTACCCCCAGTGAACACAGGACATCTGGGAAGTGGAATTTAAACAGCAAATCCGTACTGCTTAGACATTCTTGTCTAGACATAAACTGGATTATTTTATAATGCTTGTGTTCCTTATAGGATATCCTTCCACTTGACTTCCCATGCTGTATTCTGTAGCACTATACTGTGTTGTTAAAGTATCTTTTACTGAAGGCAACTGGGAGTCACTATGGATTCAACTTTATAATTCTTCACTACACTTAAGAATGTCTCAGTGAGTTTCCTTTTGTGGTGCCATAAACAGCATGAGCTTAGCTTTGATGCTACTTTTAGAAGTTTTGGCAAATATGTTTTAAAATATTAGATTTCAAATATCATAGTGAACTTTATAGTTGTTTGTGGCTAATCTGTACATTTCAACTATGCTTGATGATAGGCAATTAGAAGCTCTCTTCCTGTGCTCTATTGAAACTACTATTTAAAACACCTTCTTTTCATTTGCTATATTGTGATACTGAAACTTACGAGTAAGTGACCAGAAAAAAAGTCACAAAAAATCAAATCCTAAGGGTTCATTCTTCATGAACATGCATCAGACTTATTTCATTCCAAAAGTTATGGACCTTTGAGTTAAGAATATTCATATACCAACCCAAGAGAGTCAAAGCAGTTCCTGAATTTTGCACATTACTTTCATTCCCTTAGAGGAAAACTACTTTCCGAAAGCAATATTAGGCCAATTACAAATCATAAAACGCTACCTGTGTTGGAATTCATCTTGAAATATGTCTCATCAGACAAGATGATATAGGAGAGTTGTCCATTTCTTCCTGAGTCTTTGTCAACAGCTGTGACTGTGCCAACAACACCCCTGGGAACTGGATTTTCCTCCATTTTGAAGAAGTAGTCATTATGTAAAAATATGGGGGAATTATCATTTTCATCTAGCACATTAACTATTACTAAAGTACTTGCATTTTGCTTGGAGCTTTGGTCCCCTAAGGTACTAACTAGGACTCTAAAACTTAATATCTGTGTATATTCATAGTTCAAATGTTTCTGCAAATAAATCCAGCCAGTATCAGAGCTGATTCCAAAAGCAACAGAATCTGTACTAGACTCTAGGGAATATGTCAGCTTGGAGCTGACATGGTGTGGATCTAGTGAGTGGGCTTGAACTTGAAGGACTTGGACACCCAGCAAGGAGGCTTCACTGATTTCCACTTGATACACCAATTTTTCAAAAGCCAGAGTGGGGCCCATCTTTTGCTCTTCAATAATCACTGACAACTTCAACACAGAACTCAGAGGGGGATTTCCATGGTCTTCTGCTTCTATGTGTAAAGTATATTCCTGCTGCTTATCTGCAAACACTGTCCTGGTGAGGTTCACCACTCCAAAGCTTGGATCAATACTGAATGCATTTGATTGCTCATTTGCCATACTGTATTTGATTACTGCATTTAGGCCACTGTCTTTATCTTCTGCATGAGCAATGTAGATAGCTGTGCCAGGAGGCAGGGTATGTGAAATAATTATTTTACCAGATTTGGTAAGAAATACTGGAGGGTTGTCATTGATATCCAACACAGATATGTTAACCTGGGTGCTACTGTAGACCGGGGAATTACCCAACTGTGACTGAACAGTGAGTAATATAACAGACTGAGTTTCATGGTCGAGTTGTTTTTGGGTGTGGATGATACCAAACTGCGGGTCAATAGAGAATCTTCCATATGGATCACCAGAGGAAATTCTGTAAGAAACCACTTCTAAAGAATCTGTAAGGGGGAAGAACAACAATAAAACATAAAAAAGTATGAAACTGATAACCTGAAGGCTTCTACAAACATCTGTGAAGAATGTGTGCCATTAAATTCGGCTCAATAAACGTAACCTACATAGATACTTGTCTGTCTCAGGGTTTTTATGCTTCCTTCTTCCTGTCTCTTGATCCCTTCAGTAAAATAAACACTGCACAGATTTGACCTGACTGTATACATTTTGGCCAATTATGCACTCTTTGACTTGCATCACTAGTACGATAAATCTCTATGGAGAAAATACTATCACTGCCTCTTGTTTCTCCCTCATCCCAAATAACAGGAAAGCACTCTTAAATTACTTTTAAGCAAATAATTTCACTGCATATGGGTGTTCACTATAACGAGGAATAAAACAAATGGTGGTTCCCTGAGAAAACTATATTTTAATGATCTTACTGTTCATGTGTGACCATTGCTATAATCTACCCATGCCAAATGCTGATCAAAACTCTTCTGCACAATTCCACACGCTTCTGGCAAGGTGCTACCTCACCCTGGAAACTGTGGCCAAGAAGTCCAAGAAGTCTGGCTAACCACAGATTCTTAGGAAACTTCTGCTTTTATCACCTTACACACGGAGATCCACAGTCCAAGTATGTGGACTCATGTCCCACTATTCTGCACACGAACCAAACATACATTGCTCTGAGGTCAGGGTTCTTTATGGCGAGGAGCCTGGCAGAATTAAAGCCATTTCCTTCTCAAAGTGATGAAGGAAACAAATAGATTAAAAAGGAAAACTTCAAAACATTAGTCTGGATTTCATCATTGAATTTGGATTTTTTTTTTTGCATCAGCACACCTCCTAGATTACTGAAAACCTCTGCATACTTTCTGTTTGCTCATCAGCGTTGCTCTGCAGTTCCTGTTTTGTGGCCAATGCTTCAACACAAGCCATACTATTACATACCACT